TTTAAATAAAGGGATCGGAGAATATATAAACGCTTATGAAATTGATAAATATTACCACCCTTTAACTCAAAACGGCACCATTGCTATCAAAGCCAGCGTATATTTAAAAAAAAAAACTTATTTATTATCAGTATTTTATAATAATTTTGTAAACATGAAATACGATGAAGATAATAGTTGTTTAATAGTGTCATAATAAATTAGTTATAATTTAATTTGATGGTAACATCCATGCACTTGGAAACATAATGATTTGTTTTTCTGACTATCTCAAAGCATAGTAATTACTCATTCCATTACTTAAACTGAAGCACTGACTTTGTTCTAATCTTACGATAACCTGAAGAACTTGTCATTACTGGTTAAAATTGTTGTACGTAATAGCTAACTTTATTTGACCATAACATTAATTAGTATAACGTGTTCAAATTCAAAGCAAACTAATTAATATGATGGTTTTAACGTAAACTAAGAAATGTTAAAACGAAATTTTGAGAAATACATTACTCCAGCGTCCAAAAAGATCAATATTATAGACGCGGTCTAACTTCGTCAGCCAGAGATAGTAATATACAACCGGTTTGTGTTGTACTTGGTCCAAATAAACCCTCACCCATGATGGATTAGTAGTAGAGTTACATTTGGATTCTACACCTGGTGTTAGAATCCAAATGAAATTCTACTGATTCAGGTAAAAAAGAATTAAAAAAAAGGATTATAAAGGCATCTCATCTAATCTTCAACAAAAACAAGAAGTTTTATCTCACTAAATGAAGTTGGCTACATGAATTATATAACATTATTATGCTCTATCATTTATTAAGCTTTTAAAAATATTATTAATTAAAAAGTCTTATTCAACAATTTTTAAAAGTGTTCTCTTTAGCTTTCCTTTACCTTTCTTGACAAGGATCAAAGTTATATGTTCTATTTTTTTCATAGGTGCCTCCATTAGTCTTCTTTGTACTTATCCAAATTACTTCAAATGATTATCTACCATTTTTCCTTTAATAGATGCTGACGCTCACTTTTTTCTGTATATGCTCATTTTAGATTTTATCTTTACGGTACATCCACACATCCATCTCAACATTCTCATCTCTGTTATTTCAACTTTATGCTCATATTATCCCGTTAAAGCTCAACATTCACCACCATATAATATTACTAGTCTCATAGCAGTTTGATAAAGCTTCACTTTAAGTTCATTAGATACCTTACGATCACAGATAACTCCTTTAGCTTTCTCCAATTACACCACCCAACTTGTATCCTATATGTAATATCTCCATCAATTTTCTCATTATGTTGAATAATCACTCTCAAATATATAAACTTTTTTACTTGAGGTATGATTTGATCATTCAATTTCACTTCCAAATTACTACTCACTAACCTTTTATTAAAATTACAATGTAGATATTTCATTTTATTCCTACTCAAATGAAAACCTTTTAACTTTAATGTCCTTCTCCATAACTCAAGTTTACAATTAATCTCTTCTCTTATCTTTGCAATATGAACTATATCGTCCGTGAAAAGCATGCATTTAAAATTTCCTCTTGAATATGGTTAGTCAAAGCATCTAAGACTAGATCAAAAAAATAAGAATTCAAAGATATTAATCTCTTCTCTTATTTTTGTAATAAGAACTATATTGTCCGTGAAAAGCATACATTTAAGGATTTCCTCTTGAATATAGTTAGTTAAAGCATCTAAGACTAGATCAAACAAATAAGAACTCAAAGATATTAATCTCTTCTCTTATTTTTGTAATAAGAACTATATTGTCCGTAAAAAGCATGCATTTAAGGATTTCCTCTTGAATATGCTCAGTAAAAATATCTAAGACTAGATCAAACAAATAAGAACTCAAGAATAATCCTTGATACAATCTAATTTTTATAGAAAAGTCTTTTGTTTTACCGTCAAATATTCTTATACTAGTTGTTACCCTGTTACATGTCTTGTATAGCTTGAATATAGGCAACCTGGACACCCTTCTTTTTCAATGCCTTCCAAAATACTTTTCTCAGTACATGATCATAAGCTTTTTTCAAATCAATGAAAACCATATGTAAATCTTTACCTTTATATCGATATTTTTTTGTTAATCTTCTTAGTAGATAAATCACTTTTGTAGTCTCCCTACTTGGCATGAAGCCAAACTGATTCTCAGAAGCATCAATTTTCTATCTCAACTTATGCTTAATCACCCCTTTCCATAATTTTATTATCTGATTCATAAGTTTAATCCCTCTATAGTTAGCACAATTCTGAATATCTCCTTTATTTTTGCAAATAGGAACTAAGTTGCTTTTGTCAGGCAATATCTTGGATTGTAAGATCTCATTAAATAACTTAGTTAACTTACTATACTTCTTCTTCACCCAAATATTTTCACATTTCAATAGGAATACAATTAGGTCAATTGGCTCTACCATTTGCCATTTTTTAAGAACTTCCTTTACTTCTCAAGCATGTATCCTTTGATAAAATGACAAATTTTGCTCTCTTTCAAGAGTTACTAAATCCTCCAAGTTAATTGACAAAACCCGCCATCATTGAAAAGTTTAGAAAAGTATGCCTCCCATCTGTTTTTAATATTATTATCTGTAACCAAAATATTTTCTTCTTCATCCTTTAAACACTTTACTTATTCCAAATCTCTTGATTTTCTTTCCTTACTCTTAGCAATTTATAAATTTTTCATTCTCCATCCTTTGTCTCAAGATCATTATAAAACTCTTTAAATGCTTTAGAATGCAAGCTTCACTCACTGCCTTTTTAGTTTCCTTTTTAGCCATATGATACTTTTCTTAATTTTTATCATTATTACACATATGGATGGCTTTAAAACACTCCTTCTTATACTTTATTTTTTCATCTAAACTATTATTTTACTATTAAGACTCCTTATCTCTCAAACTAAAACCTTTTAATTCTCTCAAAACTTCTTTTGCAACTTTCCTTACCCTCACAGCCAAATCCTCTCACAAAATGTTAGCATTTCCTCGAAACTCCCAAAATTCCTTTAGGTAAAAGATTTCTCCTGAAATTTCTTGCTTTTCACCTTTTAATTGCCATCACCTAATCCTTGGATGTATTACTCATCGACACTTTTGGTTTTTACTCATAATACACACATCAAGGACAAGGATCCTGTGTTGTATCATTGTAGCATCCCTAGGAATCACCTTATAATTTTTACAAAGTTTTCTATCTATGTTTCTTACAAAAAAGAAATCAATCTGTGACCTTAAAGCTCCACTTTTATAAGTGATGAGACACTAATCCCTCTTCTCAAAACAAGTATTAGCAATCTTAAAATCATACGCCAAAGACAAATTATCCTTTATTATTTAGCGCCTCAAAACCTAAACCACCATGCACCCTCACATAATGACTTGCCTTCCTCTCAACATGACTATTAAAGTCTCCTCCAATAAAAATTTTTTTATTATGTGGTATGCTTTGGATCAATCCCTCTAAGTCTTCCTAAAATAATTCTTTAAGACTAGCTTCTATCCTGGCTTGAGGTGCATAAGCGCTAATAATATTAATAGTCTCATGTCCAACAATTATTTTTAAAGAAATAATTCTATCTCTAATTATGTTAACATCTATCACGTTCTTCTTCCACTTCTTATCAACAATGATACTCACCCCATTGCGTGTGTTTACTTTCCTAATATACCAAAGTTTGAGACTTTGGATATCGTTAGTTTGTTCGCCAAACCATTAAGTTTTTTGCAAGCACAAGATATTAATTTTTTTATGAATCATAACTCCTACCACCTCTATAGATTTAGTAGTCAAGATTCCAACATTTTGAGTACCAAATTTGATCTTGTTTACATGGACTAACTTCTTTAGCCGTGCTTATCCAAAATAACGTGATAGCCTTTGCTCATTTAGCATTACATCTGAACATTGATGCAGGGGCCCTAACTCACTTGTCAGTGTACTCGAGCCATGCAACACGTTACTCACAAGCAATAACTTAGCATTAGCACCATAACGTCTATTGTCTTTATCCATGTGAGATTCAACAGCTCTCCTCCTTTACTTGGGCTTAAAATCGCTATAAAACATAGGAGGAGTTTCATTCGATCTTCAGATTCAGTATAATCCTCCTCAACAATATTTGGTTTAATTTTCTAACACAGCCCTCATCCCCTGGTACCCGCGTACGTGCGTACATGCACTCTCAATATACGGTTGGCATCCATATGCTCTACCTCTTGATGCTGCAGCTCCCCTGCTCTATGCTAGAATCGCAGATTAGTCGTAGTGTAGATGATGAGCATTCTAAGCTAACCAATTACTTCAGAAGTTATGATTCTTCTATCGTTTAGGATATTCTTTACAGGAAGTTGACTAGAATGTTCTGTGAAAATAAGATTCAACATCTCCACCTAGTCACTGCATAATAATATGACTTTTCTGCAACCCTCATCCCAATAGGGTTTAGGATTCTGTTGTTCATTTTATATGACCGTTGTTTAATTGTAGTTTCCAATTCAAAGTGTATTATTTATTTATTCTCCAAGTGTCGGATAATTATAGTTTTCAGCCCCGCGGCCCCACCCTCCCCCCCCCCCCCCAAAAAAAAAAATAGAAGGCATATGCTAGCTTGATATAAAACTTTGAGTACCTTGGTCGCAGCTATCAGCTTGCAGTGAAAACATGTAGTCATAAGGTTGTGTACTTGTGTTCGTGAGCAAAAATGTGATCTTTCATGGTTTTAAGCTTCATTCGTCCATAGCAATCTCGCGAGTTTCCTATCCGACTTTCTGTGATCATGTTGTTGGGGCGGGACAATTTTGGTTGATGAGAGGCTCAGTTTTTTCTTTTTCTTTTTATAATTCCCCTTTGAGGGGTCCGCTGGATCAGGTAAATAAATGCACAATGAATTATGTGATCTTGGATTCGGGTCTATTGTGTTTACATGCCCACATCTGTCTTGATACATCTGATGTAACTGCTAGGTCATCTCATGCTGAAACTGTGGATCAATGAACTTGCCTTGACAAAAATAATGAAGCGCACAATACAGCAGCTTGGACAGGATTTGAATTCAACTAAAGGGGACATGGAAAAACATGGCATCCCATGAAAAAAGTTAAAAAGACAAAAAAAAAATAAAAAAAAAAGCAGGGGAGTGGGGGCCTTACCCATATCCCATATGAACTTAAGCTTGTCAAGCCAACAATGCATGACCCAGAATTGCACTATAAATATAATCCAGGTTGCCTTGACTGTTAGAAGACCTAATTAGAAATTAGTAATGATATAGCACAAACAGATCCTAACACTATATTAATGGTAATGGTCAACTTTAAAACAATTTGATTTGAGCTACAAGCTATTCAAAACGTGAACTTGCTGTTGCTATTTGGTTAGGTTATGATCTTGATCGCAGGAGCATGAAGGTAGTTAGATCCTAACGACCACCCTGCACGGCTTGTGTCTGCTCGGCCTGTTGAGTGTCACTATCCACATGTTGGTCATTCCGGCTAGGCAAATGTTCCCCGTTGTTCTCAGGTAATTCCCCGAGTTTTTCCTGTATATTATATAAAAATTGTTAGATAGCAGGCTCAAGATTTGACAAATCCTTCCAGATCATAAAGGAATACAAGTGGCGGTTATTCCTTATTTTGTTTGCTTAATCAGGGATCTAATGCGCAGAGCATATCAGTACATTCCTTGGCCGCTATTAGGGACTGCCTAGCAGGTGGAGTGCTCATGAATTTCCGAAAGAGACCAGAAACAAATATCAAACCATATCAAGATTTTATCACCTTGAGGGCAGCATTTTCTGAGAGCAGCTGCTCGTATTCACTCCTTATCCGATTCACTTCAGAGCGGAGAGAAGCATTCTCTTCCTTTAAAGCCTCAGCTCGCTGGGCTAGTTCATCACATTCAGCCTGAAATAGCAGAAACACTTAAATTAGACATGTCGCACGCATGATCGGGCAACCAGAAGCAGAAACAGGTTACATCACCTGCTTGCGCAACCTAGATCTGCGAGCTGATTCCCTATTAGATTGCTTTCGTCTCTGTCTCTTTAGCTCTCTTTCATCCTATATGTTAACCAGGACATAAAATGATTTTTAGAGGGGAAAAGAATTGTAAAGAAACCAATCATACAACAATAATGGTCGTTTGAGAAAGTCTTTGCAGCTATTGATTATGATAAATTTTTAGATCTAATGATTAACTTATAATACTACCGGGGATCCATACTTTAAAGAAACATCACAATGACTAAAGTAAATGTCCAAATAACACAAACAATCATCATAAGGCTAGATGCATCTACCAAGTACAGTAGCTCACTTAAGACCAAACAATATTTTAATAAAGAGGAAGAGAAGAGACACAAGTTGAAGGGCAATAAAAAAGCCAGACATAACATGTTACACATGTTCGTTACAAGCACAGAATCTAATATTTCCTTGAATAATTATTTTACCAGTATTCAAACAAAACCAACTTTTTTCCATCGAACACACCTAGTAGTAAACAAACCAAACATTACAACTGGTGAACCCCTGTAATTGCATATGCCGTTTTCATATCAAATTCCATACTGAGTACCGCATGCACCAGGTCACCAACACTATATTCCTTTTTTCAAATATTGAAGCTAATGAGTATGTTTTATTTTCAGAATAAAGGAGCTTAATTTTGCAAGCCTCCAGCATGTAATAAAATTTAACTTTTAACAAGTTCAACAACTAGTGAACAATTTTATGAGCCTCAATATGCAGTACAAAGTTAGGTACAAATCTGTCAAAAGGCAAGCAAATTAATATTCTTTACTGATCTAGTTAAATCATCTTGAACTGCCATGATATTATAAGTAGAAAATGGACATTATCCCGTTACAAAACTAACCTGCACCCAAAGTTGTGACTGAACACTCTCCCGTGATCCAGCAGTAACAATTCCTCCAGCAACAGCAGTAGAAGGAACCTTTCCACGCAGTGCAGGAATAGTGGATGAAGTGGGTGCACCCCAATAATCCATTCCTATATTTAAATTTGTCGTGGGACCAGAAACTCCACCAGGAGCACCAGCAGCAGATATAGGCATGATACTCATAGTTTGATTGACCATATTGTGAGGTGTATTAAGTCCCCCGTTTTGAGGAGCACGCCCTGAACCTCCATTCTGAGACGGTTCAGCTGTAATTCAGCAAAAAAGGCAGTACCTCAGCAGTGACATGCATAACTTTATCTTCATATGTACAAAACTCAGAAAAGCAAAACGAGAACATGTCAGACCTCCCAAAGAGTCATGCCTTTCCTCTGATTTCAGCTGTGAGTCCTACAAAAACAAGAGAATGAAAATGTATGATATCATATCACCTAAGACATTTTACTAAATAAGCATGCAAGAGCAAACATTGCTCTAAAGTTTTTTCCCTTCATTTTTTCTCTTTTTACATATCTTATGCTTGTTCAAGTATATAAGTACTGCAAAACTTAGTCATAACAGACATATATTGACCACAGAGTAGCATTTACATTCTCAGAATTTGCATCGCTTCCTTCACTGGTACCTTCACTTGCACTTTCACCACTGCAAATCCAAGTTAGACTATCAGCATAAGTAGCCAACATGCAATTGCAAATCGCAACTGAACACAGAAAAGTAATTGACTGTCATTCTAACAATAAAATTTCTGCTGAGCGGCAGTATAGCCACAAGATTGATGAAAGTAGGAATCAATTAACTGAGGCATTGAAAATAAACACTACTATTAACAAACATCCATAATATGCCAAACATCCAATGACTGACAAAAATGAAAAGGAAAAGCTGATATAGTTTTCATATAAGAAGCGCAGACTCTACAATATGGAAGCTGTGTCCAAATTCATGTCTATACATGCTACATGTTGGCTTTAATGAAGCACAGGCACTAACACATTACAACACATGTAGACACTTCAGATTTTCCCATGCCATTGTCCATTCAGTGTTCTGCCTCGTGTCCATGTCAATGACCAAGCTTCGTAGGTTTTCTAGCATTAACATAATCAGGAAGAAAAACCAAGTGGGGCAAGAATGAAGTGAGCAACTTCAGGAGTTATTCAACTATTTCCATATTCAACTATTTCACATCCAGAAACCTCACCAGATATAACTAGAAAACAATCTTCAAAGACACAAAAGAAGATGCTAGAATCAATTCATCATATTTGGCATTGCCTATAGGCTTAAAAAAGACTTCATTTGAATCCCTCACAAAGGCGGCCATACATAGAAAGTTACTCATCCAAAGACATCAGCAGTTTTCTAGCTTAAGTTATAAGATCTGGAATTATAGAAAAGCAAGACCTTACACGAGATACCTTTTTGAATGAACTCCATTAGCAGATGTCCCTGGTGTTTTATTATGTTCAACATTCTTTCCTGTAATCATATTCAAACTACCCAAACTTCCTTTTGATCTTTTGATTGGCAATTTTTCCTTCACCTCAGGAGGCTTACCATCAGCTTCCATGTTTCCAAGAGTGTTTCCCTGCATGAAAACTCATGGGTTTTCCTTACTTGGATAAAGACTGGTCCAGTGCAGAAGAAAAGGATGGAGATGAAGAAAAAGTCAGAAAGAGCCAAAAAAACAGGAAGGGTGAAAAACTCACAGAAGGCTCTGCAATACCATTCGGAGAAGGCATGGCAAAGGAACTAAAAGGATAAGATCCCTGTGCAAAATCATGGCAATTGGCAAATAATGATTAATGCTTTAGAGATTGTGATGATTTAGTAACTATAAGACAATTTCAAGAAAGGATAATTCACAAAAGAATACCGAAGGCATAGATGGATGAGCATATATACCACCATGAGGATACATTGCAACATATGGATGTGGTGGGGTACCATAAGGAGGCATAATATGCTGCAAGTAACAAACCATAAAAATCAAGAAAAAAATACAGTATATTATGTAATATAGCTGTATAAGAGGAAAGAGGTACATACTAGTCCCTATATTGCAAGCACAATAAAAAACAATAAATAAAAATAACAAAGGACCATTCAACAATTGAACGAGAAAAAAATCTACATTCACTGTTCGGGCAACAGAAGTATCATATTACTAGCTATTTTCCCAAAATACTTCACAAGACCACCTTTGACATGACAATTTCTTATCTACAGTAGCATACACAAACGCAGATAGTGCCCTGGAGTAATCTCTTGATATAAACAACCATATCTGTCGGGCACATGCAACAAGAATGTTAGGCATGTTATGGCCTTTACAATATCACTAGACATCCATATATTAAATGCAATGATATTTTCCATATAGTTGACAGCTCAAAGAAATTGGTCATGCTTCTGCTTGTTAAATTGTGCTAACTTATCCAATGCATGAAAGAGCAAAGAACTTCATCCAGTGGAAAAGTTCAATGAATATAAGGACCTCAGTACTATTTTGGAATTCTTACATAGAGGGTCGGATTTGACTTTGTATTCAATTCCAGTTATAAAGGAGATAGTGTCCCTTAGGTTACATAGCAAAATTAAAATAGCATCAATACCACATGCTCTTTACTATCTAGGACATAGATGTCTTCATATTCAAATAATAACCTTATGTCATGAGGTCACCAAAACCACAATCACCGCCTAAAATACCTACCATAGGTGTAATCCCAGCTGCACTACTGATCATCCAAAACGACTACAACTACAGTCACCACCCTCAATGCCTTGCCAATGATCAATTGCCACCCCAAAACCATCATAAGGGCAAGTTTTACCACAATTGTCCTTGCCCAACCGTCTAAGTCACCTTTGCTGCCCCATCCACCCAAATGCCACCACTGGATAGCTAATGGTTTTATTTGAAGCCAAATAATTTCTTCTTTCCTTTTGCTCCAAATGCATTAGAAAATAAAACGTCCAAGCACTAGAAAGAAGCAATCATGACTATTTTATGAAAAAATAAAAGATGATAAGGAAACATGCATATATATTAGGGGGAAATACACTCAGACTGAGCGATATTCTACATCATCATTTGCTTGAGATTGGTCAATCATAAGTTAGGGGATAATTACCTGGACACCCCACACATATGGGTGAGCTTGGGGACTTGATGCTAAGAACCCATGTGGAGGCATTGGAGAAAATGCCTGTAGAACGAAGCTGGTGGAATCAAAATCTAAGCTTAATATTAGTCAAAACATAATATGCCAACAAATATTTTGTCATGGCAAACCTGAAAGCTGGACCAATCTGGATTAATTGTTCCAGTGCCAGGAGTTGACGACTGCTCCTGCAAAAAAAAAAAAAAAAACAAAGCAACAGGGTTTTTTGCATTGCGTGCAAAGTGCCATTAAAATGTCCTGGTAGATAAAATAAAAGAACCCAGGTGGACCTGTGACATCACCGGAGGTGTCTTTGGCTCCTTTTCTCTTGGGGTTTTATCCATGTCACCGAGACCCGTGGCTTTATATCAGTGCCCTCCAAAAATGTACACTAAACCATGCTGCATAACGAGAAAACTTGCGTTATAAGTCAGCTAACGAAATGTTTCTCATCCGCAAAACAGACAACAAAGTCACACTGCTCAAAAGTAAAGCCTTGTAAACAAAACTTTTCATCCAAAAGCCCCAATGTCAAATCTTACAAAGTGTTACAATCTTTACGTTACATTAATAGATTAATAGGTTGTACAGGAAGCAAATGAACCAATAATACATTACTCTTTCCTTCATTCCCAATTAAAGTAAACCGTCTAAAAACATTTTTTAAATCAATTTCCGATGTTATCTACAAAACTAGCACTGGCATATAACTGAAAAATTCTGTTCAGCTAAAAAAAAAAACACTACTCGTTTAATATCTATTTAAAATGACTTGGCGTAAGGTGATAATCAGGCTCAGAACAAAGCAGAGATAACTATGAGCAAAAATTGAATTCATGCACAATTTAGCTACATAAAAAATTCAGCTCTTGGCCAACAGAGGAAATAATTCAATTACCGCTCATAAAGACAGGAATCGTCGCGGCAGAAGGAGAAGAAGAATCGGAATATGCAGAAAACAAGCAATGGAAGCAACAATTGATAGTAGAAATATATTATATGAATAATAAAATTATTCCGTGACACGTAGGTCAATCAGGCGTTTATTTTGGGAAATGTCAAAGCAAGAAGGTGATCTTCCATCTTAGAAGATACGACAAGACGAGAATGGGAGAAAGAACTGATGAAATATCAGACTAGGGTTTTTTTGGCTTCGGTTTGAGTTTGTTCGGGCGTGTTCACTCCCTCACGGAGAGGAACGCATAGGTCGTCCGTCGTACGGTGTCGCTGTCCCGTGAGATTGTCGTTACCATTTTGCACCGCGGGTGTCAAATCTCCCTTTTCTCCTCCTGCCCATTGTTTTTGTCTTTCCATCCCCTTGAATCACCGTTTTAATTGGTTCAAAAAAAAAGAAAAAATCACCATGGTTAGATACTTAGATTATATTGGAGCATTATAGGATTCTTGGAAGCCATATATGAAACAAACTCAAGCATTTGAAGAAATATTTATAAATCATTTACTAATAAAATCCTGATGTCAATAACTAAACTTGAAACATTATAGGATTCTTAAATGCTACATATGAAACAAACTAAAGCATTTAAAAAAATATTTATAAATTATTTACTAATGAAATTCCCATATCAATAACTGAATTTGAACCAATAATTTTATAAATTATTAGTGAAATTTTTATCAATTAAATCATATTTGTTAGTGTCTTTTTAAGTTTTTTTATATTGTCCATGACTATTCTCTTATTGAAAATAATTCTATTCAAATACAATTAAATATTAAATGTAAATATTTTTTAACAAAAATTTAAAATTTAATCCGTTATATTATGAAAGATTAATTCTTTCTATCAAACCTAACCTTCATTAATGTGTTTTCAAGCACAAAATCTACAATGGATGAAATGGGCATTACAGAGAAATAGATAAAGCCTAGAAGCAAGCCCGCCCATTGTTTGGAGCTGGCAAAAAGAGGGAGCCGTTGATTGGAACGTCGAAAGTTGAAAGCTTGTCCATAAACTGCGACGCAGGGCTATTAAAAATTGTGTTAGACTAGTATTACATTTAATTTAGACTTCACCAAAGCTAATTTAATTTATTTCATTGGAATCTCTTTGGCTCAAAATCAAAGTAAATGGCCTAACATACAAAGTACACACAGATATGGTATTTGGAATATTAGGCCTAATATTCCATGTCGGTTACAAGCACATGTGCGCCTAACAATCATTCATAATGGAGAAAGATTGGAACACAGAATGAAGCAAAATTGAAGGTGACGATTAGAACAATGTGGCTTTCTAGGGAGGCAGCCATTAAAAGATGGAAATAAACTACTAAAAGTACAAGAATGTATAATTGCAAACTTGAACAAGAACGGTTAATAATAGTAAGTATAATAGCCAAACAACTTGAAATGAAAAGAGGAATAGGGATGGTGTATGAATGATTATAAACAAGTGGAAAGCAACATAGAATGAAGCAAAATTCAAGACAACAATGATAAGTGTAACTTAGCATTTCCATGAAAGTTATGACAAGAAGATTCAATAAGGTTAGAGTTCACCCTAATGATGTAACATTGTGAGTTTAATATCACTTGGGATCCTCTGTTTAAAAAAAAAATGGAAAGGAGTTGTTGTGAAGACAAAAGTGACTGAAAATCTAAATATAACGTAGAGTATTAATAACTGCAACTATACCAGACAAACAACATAGAACGAAAAGAGGATAGAATAAAACAAACTCTAGCACATATTGCACCTGGGTAAGTAGGTAATTTCCTGTATTGTTGATTATTAATCCTAATTAGTTTGCCTACACTTGAAGATATTGTGGTAGAGAATTCCGGAATGCACATATTGCACTTGGGTAAGCAGGTAATTCTACAAGAAACTCGCCTACAAATTCATATTAGTTTGATTTATTTTTCACAACATGCTTCGTTTCAATGTTTTTGTTGTAAAAATTAAAGTTCCAATATATAGTAAGTCATATTATTCATTAATTATAAATAACATGATTTATTTAAATCCATGCCACCCACGACCCACAGATTAATTTAGATTCGATGTAAAGCTAGTCTGAGGATCCTTAATATATAACGATTAAGGAATGAAGAAAGAGATACGAGAGAAAGAAAGTCAAACTTCTCTATGCAAATTATCTCGTGTCTTACATCTATTCTCATTAAGTTATTTAATGTTTGACATTATCTTAAAGTTGAGAATACTGACAGACCTAACTTTTAAAGTCTTAAGTTTTGAAATCTGATTTTTTAAATTTTAATAGTATCTTGAGGCTCGGCCTTTATTGATCAGGACCAAGGTCGGGCCCTGAAAGCTTGATTTTAAAAAAATAAAAAATAAAATTATAATTTAATGTTATTCTTTTAAAAAATAATTTAATTCAACATTATAATATTTAACATTATAATTTAAATATAAAATTTAACATAAGCTAAATTAAGTTCTCACATTATTTAGAAAATAAATAAAAGATTTAAAAGCCTAAATATATATTAGTTGATGTTATTATAATTCACAATAAAGTTTCAAAAACAAAATAAATAAGGCATATCAATGTAATCTTCACAAAATAAGATGAGGAATCAAAAATTTTAAATCAAATTAAAATCTTAAAAGCAAGCATCAATTTAAAATATTGAACACCCATGACCTAAAAAAAGGTTTATGTCAAAAAAGAAATTAATTGAGAGTAAAAGAATTAAAAAGTCAAAGTAATAAAACGCTAAGAGAGAGACACCATGTTGAGAGATAGAGCAAGGTAGAGGGCTAGTAAAGCAATGAGAAGGAGAGGCAAAATAGCTAGAGAAAAGGAGAGGGCAAAGAAAAAAGTTTGAATCAGAAGATAAAGAGAGTTAAAAAACTTAAAATGATTCAATATTTAAAGATTTTTTTTTTTCATTTACCAAACAATGCATTTCAAAAAAAGAAGGAAAAAAATGGAATGAGGTTTAGAAGACCGCCCGAGCTATTTTTTTCTATGGTTTATTAGGGCTTGGCTTAAAAGTTCAGTTACCCTAAAAGCTTTTTTTTTTTTCAAGCTCGAACTCTTATTTAAATAAGACTTTCAGACTCGATCCTAATTTTTAACTCTACATTATCCTTTCATGAAATTTTTCCGTTCTCACTAAGATTATTTTTTTTATAGTTAGATTTAAGTATTGTAAAATTTAATTGAATATAACTCTCTTATGTCTTTTGTTACATTCCCACGAATTTAAACTCAAGACATCATATTTAATTAGTCATAGTCCTTTTATTAGAAACAACACCTGTAATAACCCTACAAGATCTAAATGGGTGAATTTTTTTATATGATTTTTTTCATTTACAGAAAGATCTTCTAATTAAGCATGATGCTTCATTGAAAAAAGATATTATGGTATATTTAGATTTATGAAAATTTGATATGTCATAATTTTTTTATAATTTTAAATTCTTTACATATACTAATTATTTGAAATTTTATCTCCTTCAACCCTCTTCCACTCCTCTCATTTATTATTATCGTCTCTTACCAATTAAAAAATATAGATTAACTCGTGACTTTCAATATACTATTTTTGTTTCAAATTTAAGACTGTCTCTCTTTGACCTTTAAATTTTTTTAATTATCTAAAAAATAATTATAAACACATAAATTTTAAATATAATATTTTACATTTAAATTTTAAATTCAAATCCATTCAAATGCTGTCTTGGCGTTTTTTACTCAATCAATTAAATTACAATTTTCTTTCAACAAGACCCAGCCACAATCAGTCTCTTTTTCTTTCTTTTCCGTATTTTTATCAAAAGCAAGAGTACAGATTTGCAAGACTTCAATGTCACTTTTCACCGAAGAGTTTTCAAGCTTTTGTCATTCACAAGAGGAGGAAAATATTTGAATCATTTGCTTATGCGAAACTTGACTCAAATTGACAATTTTTATATTTACTGTAATTTTATTATTTTTATAAGTATTTTATCCGGTTTTGTAAAAGAAAAATATAAAAATTTTTTTGTTCCAAAAATATTTATTTAATTTTTATTATGTTGTAGGTACCAAACATCATGTAAATTTATCAATCCAAATTGTTACCGGTATATGCTGTAATTGAAAAATGAAGACAGATACAGAAATTCAAATTTTAATAAAGAGAAATAGAGGACTGTGAAAAAAGAAACATGTCCTTGCCCTTTATAAATTTCTTTAATTGATTAAATTTGTAAAATATCATTTAAAAATATAAAAGAATTTTAATCAAATCTCATCTCCAATAAAATAGTTACTTCTATTTAAATTAATACTATTTTTTATATTTATTTTTATTTAAAAATTATTTCATTTTAAAAAAAATAAAATCATCTATTTAAAAGGGCGCTGATTAAAAATATCTTTAATATTTAATCCTTTAAAAAATGATTTATACTTTCAAACGGAAGCAATATATAATTAACTTGAGTAAAAATATAAAAACCGAAATGAAAGGAAAATGGTATCAGTAATGTGTGACACCTGTCGAAATAAAAATTTTAAATTATAAAAAGAATTCTTTTTGACAAAAAATAAAAGTGATTGATGTACGAAACTTGTATGATAACAAAGGCATAACGACGGACTCACTAAAAAGAAAAGGAGAATAACGCCGCCGCGAGTTTCGGACGCGCGTGTCATAACGCAAATGTCAGAATTGAAGAGGCATTTTTAATTTTTTTTGCGTTGAAGAGGCATTCCACTTTTGACTATGAGGAAAATCAAAGGCCATGTTTCCTTAATTGACCCTGCTTCTCGACCCAAATTACTATCACAGGTCATTTCCTTTTCCCGGACGATAATGCCCCATATTCTCCTACCCGTTTTATAAAATTATATCTTAATTATTTATTTTTAACCCCACTCTTGCAGTCTTCCCTTTTTATCTTTTTTTAGTCTGGCCTGGCTTATTTGCATTGCACTTAAAGGTGCTATTTAATAAAGTATTATCTTTATCTTGAGTGGGGGTATCTTTCGGTGAAGAATTGCACATAAATATACATATATATATGACACACACACACACACATTTTGCGTTTTAATGAATTTTAGTAGAAGTTTTAGGGTGCGGGATTAATATTTTAGTTTATTTAAATAATAACTACGTTTCAATAGGTTTAAAATTTTGAGCCTATTAAACCCAGACACCTGTAAGGTCTCATCATCATGATTCTGCTTTGATTTCGTGGGCAAGTTTTTTGTCTCTCAAGCTTGGTATCTTTTTTTTTTTTTTTTTCAAATGGCCAGAAGTTTGGCATCGAACTAAGGCTTACTATATGCGTAATTTTCTTATTATGAAATAAAACTGATAATTCAAAACACTGTTTTAATGAAATACAATAGTTGTTTTTGTCTATAATTGATAATAGCGTATGGATATGTTAATTAAAAATAATGTTATATGATTTTGGATTGGTAAGTTTGGATTTAAATTTTATATTTAAAATTCATGCATTTGAAGACCATTTATTTGTATAATATACAAAATTTTAAAGACAAATGAAGATGGGTTGGAATTCAAAACAAAAATTGCTAGAAGATTAAAAATGACAAATTTACTTCTATTTTTTAATCAATTCATGACTGAAACAAAAAATAAGAGAAGAGATGAAAGTGACAAAAACAAAATGAACGAGATATTTTGAATGATTTATTAAATTTCAAATGATTATGATGTACAAAAATTTAAGATGGGCAAAGGTGTAAATTTAACCTTTAACTATTTTTCTAGAAGCATTGGGTAGTTTGTACTATAAGGTAGTACGAAATAAATTTTTAACTTCAAAAAATGAAGCATCCAACGACCTTTGTTAATTTTTATTTACGAGAGGTTAACTTTTCATGTGAGGTTTATAAATTTTTGACTGAAATGATATGTGACACTCCATCTCAGCAAATAAAAGTACAAATCAAGCAAGAAATTATTTTTTGAAGAGCACTGGATAACCTCAATTTACTATAAAAAATGAAACATCTAGCACCTTTGCTAACTTCTAAAATTTCATGTCATTTGAGCACATTTTTTTTAGATTTTTAATATATCTTGGCACAATTTTACATATTTTGAATACTCAAGTCAAAAAATGTACATATTATTTTGAAAATTCAAACTATAACTCTATTTTGGTATTTTAAAGCTAATTTATTAATATTTTGGTTTAAGGTTTAGTTGGATGTATTTCTAAACTCTTAATGATGCTTTTGGAAAGCTTTTGAATGAAAAATCAAGTGCAAAAAAGATAAATTTGGTTAATTAAAAAAACAGCGTAAAACAAAGCAAAGTCATCCCAGAATCGTGAGTTGCAACTTTGTGTTGCAACATCAAAATGAAGCATTTTGTTTATCTGATAAAGTTAGCGCTCTTGACTATATATGATCCATTCTTAATTTTGGCCAACATTCTAGACTTTTTAAGAGTATTTGGGAGATTTGAATGTGTTAGGACATATATTTTGGTCGAGATTGAGCTTGAGTTTGAAGATTAAAAGAGATTTTGACTCCATATCTTAGTTATTCTTCTCCATTCTCCTTCCTTTCCCTTTGTTCAATGTTTGTGCCAGTATATTTGTATTTTCTCATGGGTTTTATGAATATTTGTAGTTAAACATTTGATTTTAGGATTATTTTGAACCCTTTGTATAAATTAAATACTCATTCCCCATTTGTATTTGTAATTAATGATATGATTATGTTAATTTTACTCCATACTCAATGTTTTTAACTGGTTGGGACCATTAATTAAATTGTTGAGTTCACTTAATTAATGTTTGAGAAAGCTAATTGAGTGTAAAAATTAAGCTAAATTGTGTGAGAACTTTAAGTTTGCAAATTGAATGGACGATTTTGCTAATGAGGTAGAGATACACCATTAACCACTTATAATCACATAGGATTTGCAAGAAAAATTGAAATTTAATTAGTTAATTAAGAGCTTAAGGGATTCATTAAGCTAAACACTTACTTGGAGACTCAAGAGAGCACTTGTGAAAAATTTAGTATCATTGACTAGCATAATTCTTCATTAAGAGCAAAATATATTGGGAGTTAATTAGGTATTCTTGAAGTATAAAAGGAGATAAATAATCTTAGGCCTAATTACTTTCAAAAAGTTTTAATCATTCTCTTTACTTTATTTTCTAATGTTAATTTAGTTTGCAAAATTATTTTCACCTAATTGTGTTTGACTTAACTTGATTGAATTTACTAAATATTTTGTTTGACCTCTGTTTTTAAACAAACATTCGTGTAAATGATACTCTATTCACACTTTATTATTTGTTAAGGCCTGTGCACCTACAGGGCACAACAACCTTTCTATTAATTTTGACCAAACATTATTTTTTTCAGACTTATGAAACCTCCAATGCGTCATTCGTTCTAATTTTATTATTTTCGTTTTCAATCTTAGCTTAAGAAGAAAAGATTCAAAAAGTTCTTATCTGAATACATTCATAAGGGTGATGCAAATAAAGAAGAATAAGAAGAAGAAGAAGGTAAGGTTTAGTTCAAATCTCTGTCAAGCGAAGTAACAATTTGAATTGTGATGCAGCTAGGTGTGAGAGAAGCTTGATTCAAACTTGATTTAGTCACAAATTATTTTTATAGAAAATAAAGCAATTGAATCAATTTTATCCCACACGAAGCAGCATCACAATTCAAACTGTTATGTCACTTGAATTGTTATAAAGATTTAAACAAAACATTGTATTCTTCTTTTCTTCATTGACATCATCCTTATAAATGTTTTTAGATAAGAACTTTTTGAATATCTTTTTTTCAAGCTAAGATTGAGAACAAAAGCAAAAGGACTAAAGAGATTGAAGCGTTTGTGAGTCCCATAAATTCAAAAATAAATGACATTTGATCAAAAGATGGAAATGTGTTAAATGGTCCATTTTTATAATAGATAGAGGCTACCCAATGCTCATCAAAAAATAATTTATGATTAGATTTGTATCTTTATTTATTGAAATAGAGTCTTACATAATATTTCAGTCAAAAATTGATGAGTCCCACATGGGAAGTTAACTTTCCTTAAATAAAAAATAACAGAGGCTACTAGATGCTCCGTTTTTAAAAGTTAAGAATTTATTTTACACCACTTTATATTTTAGGCAATTTAATGCTCCTTAAAAAATAGTCGAAAGTCAAATTTATACTTTTATCCATTTAAAATTACAAAGAAATCATCATAAAACGTGGATTTGGATCCAGGAAAAATAAAAATCCATAGATTTTCATGTATCAAATAAAAATTTTGAGCCGGATCCAGGTACACAATTCCCAGTAATTGAAACGCAATGTTAGTTATGTTCATCATCTGTAATAATAGCATTATGTTATGATAATTGATAATTATATATGAATATGAATAATCCGTAGTATCATGTTGCTGAGAATTAACTATTAGGATACCTCTAGAAAGCACTAATTGCTTTGTATGATTAACTTGATAAGTAAGCATATGATTCAAATTTCAAAGCTTTAAAGAACCGTAATCTTCTTTACTTAACATGATTAGAGGATTTGCCACTTTTAACATCACGCGTGGAGAGTCTTCGTCAATTCATCACCCTCTCTTTGCTTTATTCTTTCCCCACAATTCTTTTTTCTTTTTCTTTGTCATTTTTATTTCCTAGGTGGATGACCCTACAATATATGCTTAAATATATTAGCATGTACAATTCTGTATAAACAAGCAAAGGGAACTTTTGAGCTGTAACAAAAAATTTCGACATATATAGAGCGCATAATATTATAGATAAATGATGCAAAATTCACACACATAAAAGAAGATATAACTGCTTAAATACAAAATTGAGTGAGTTACTCTATTTTGAGCTTAATAATACTTAAAGCTGACTCAATAGAAATATAATAAATACTTCATCCAATCATATTTATAAGTCACTTTAAATATGTTTCATTTAATTAGAAAAATTTTAAAAATTTATTATCTCTACATACTTATATTAGATATACATATTTTAAAAATTAAATAATACAATATTTAATAACATTTTTAATTTTAATATTTAATAGGAAATGAAATAGCAAAGATGAACATAAAAATCACATAAATGCCTTTTTACCAAAACAAAACTCTCCTCCTTAACAATAAGGGAAAGATTTAAATATTACAATTAAAAACAATTAAAAATTTGTCACCATAAACCGCCATGATATATAACAGTGGCGCGTCTCATAAATGCTGGAGCAAGCAAGGGCATTATTGTACACCAGAAAAATATCTAAACCTGATTCAGCTGGCAGCCTAAGAGCAGGAGTAAGACTGCCATATACCATCGTCATCATCGTCTTCAATTCTTATGGTTCTCTCTTCCGCGATCATTTCGGGTCGTCTACTTGTGTATGTCTGAGAGATCGAGGCAAAGAAAGTGGAAGAGCGCGCGAGAGAGAAAGACGCAGAAATTATTAGCACAATCACTTAAATTTAGTATATATGGATCGCTCACGTTGTTTTGGGACTCATTATTTTTTTCTCTCCTATTGCTCTTTCATATTCTTCTTCTTCACCCTCGCCTTGTTCCGCAATGCCGCGTCGTTTAACCTCACCACCACACCGTTCGACAACGCCTATTCTCCTTTGTTCGGCGACGGCAACGTCGTTCGCTCCCCTGACGGCTATGGCGTCCGTCTCCTCCTCGATCGCTTCACTGGTAATTCCATCGTTTCAACAGCTCTGTTTGGGCGTCTTTGTGTGTATTCTGATTTTCTTTCTTCTTCGATGAAACAGGTTCGGGTTTCATCTCCTCCAGCATGTACCAGTACGGATTATTCAGCGCAAATATCAAATTGCCTTCGGATTATACAGCTGGCGTTTGCGTCGCCTTTTACGTATGTTTGTATGCATAATATTTATTCATTTTTCAGAATTGGATACTTTTTAATAGTTATTAATTAGGTTTTCTGAAGTCTATTGATCCGTAGCGCGGCATTCCAAAACAGTGTGAATAACGAGTATTGTTGATTTGAATTGGTCATAACAGACATCGAACGGTGGATTATTCGAGAAGACTCACGACGAGTTGGATTTCGAATTCTTAGGCAATATTGCAGGAAAGCCATGGAGGTTTCAGACGAACTTGTACGGCAACGGAAGCACTCATCGTGGCCGCGAGGAGCGATACCGTCTCTGGTTTGACCCGACCAAAGAGTTTCACAGATACAGCATTCTTTGGACCCCAAACAACATCATGTGAGTCTCTCCTTAATTTCTCTATTTCTCTTTTTTACTTATAATAATTATAAACTTAAATTTAAATTCCTGAATTGCTGAATATATGCGTTCGTGTGTATTATCCCAATCGAAAACTGTGCTTTGGTCATGTGTAAATGGGTGGGTGGGTGGTTTTTGTTTTGGAGAATTTTGGGATGTTGGATTGATCACGGTTCACAGGTTTGACATTACGTGAAAGCCTTTGGGGTTGCGTGTGGGATACTTCATACTTCTACGACCTGTGAACTATCAACTTGACCAATAGTTTTTTTTCTCATTGATGCTTGAGAGTAATTCAGTTCATTCATTTTTTTTTTGCTAATTTCATAAATAAAATAGGTTCCCTCCCTCACACAAATATATATAGCCAGTATAAAGTTTATTATACACTTTTTGAAAGTTACTCTCTCTGGAATTTTTTTGTTTATATTTATAAGCAATAACATCATTTTTTATCATAAATTTTCCCTATACTTCCATTAAATGTTATTAATCAAAGGGATATATATTTGACGGAGATGAAATTAAAAACTTGTTAAATTTTTCGGTAAAATTAATTTTAAAATTTTTTTAGTTTCAGTAAAATACGTTCGCTGGACCCGACGAGTGTCTTGTTCCTCTGACCGCATGATTATTATAAATTAGATTATCCAAGTTGTATTTTCTTACATAAATTTTGTGCTTATCCTTCTACATGTGATATAGGAGGACTCTTTCTTTCCTTCTTTTTTTGAGTCACACGCACACATATGTATGCTCACACACGTCCACACTTCACGGTCCTTGGTATTGAGTATTGACAGTTTTCAAAGCTTTGAATAGATTGCGGGGGTGGTGGTGGGCAAAGTCACGATTCTTAATTTTGCTAAACGCCTAACACATAAAGTGGATTAACCTCTTATGTGGTTCTAGAATATGGCTGAATTTTCTTTAATTTCTTTGCACATGTATTTGAAAGTTGACAAAAATTTGAAAAGGGTATTGATTCTATTGGGGGACCTACGCTCTCATGTATGTGATACTTAAAAAAGCGGAATTATTTTCGTGCACTATGATGAACCATGTGAACTGGATTCTTTCGTGCTTTTAATACATGGCGCGGCAATTTTTGTTACATTACCAAACTAAGCTAGCTCACAGATTCCTGTAGTGTTTTGGAAGACTTTGTCCCCACATTATTATTTCCTCTCATCGAATTCAAAAATAGCTGGCCCAACATTATTCTTCACATTGGAATATATGCATGTATGCAATTAATGCTACCGACTTTGCTTCAATTTCTGTTAAAATAAACTGTATTAGCTGTAATTTGGTGTTTTCTTCGGTCAAAAAAAAAAATAGTTTGGTATTTTCTAGGCGCTCTAATTTTGGAATATCATTTCCAGTGACTTGTATTTAGCTTCAAAACCCAATTGTGTCTGAACTAGATCTTTAGTGTTATATGTTTTGCCTCTGGAGAGTTGACACCCTAACAATATCCTATTTGACAAGAGACGAAAGAGAAATAATGATGCAAAAAGCTTAATTAAGATCTCTTGATCAGCTAACTAAGCTAATTTGTATTGGCTTTATCTTATGTAACAAAAAGGGGAAAAATTGACTCGAGTCAAAGTGATAAACAATTAAACAACTTTTCTAACATTTGAAGATAACACAGACGTCGTGTGGAATCTGACCTCTCTGAAATTGGTTTCTTAGAAATTTTTGAAGTTCAATAATAGGGATTATATATACTTTAGCTTTATCTGTAATTAACATTGCAAATTTTAGAGGCACCAACTTTAGAAGATCTGATTTTGCATGTGTGATACTCTTTATTTCATGCAAATTCTTTTTCTTCTGACTCTTTTATTTTTCCAGTGTTGAACTGAAACATGGTGGTGAATTTGCAGATTTTACATTGACGAAGTACCAGTAAGAGAAGTACAAAGAAGTGAGGAAATGGGTGGTGATTACCCATCAAAGCCAATGTCCCTATATGCGACCATATGGGATGCTTCAAATTGGGCCACGTCAGGGGGTAAATACAAAGTGAACTACAAGTACGCTCCATTTGTATCAGAGTTCAAGGACCTCGTCATTGACGGTTGCTCCGTCGACCCCATCCAACAAGTCGCCGCCGATTCTTGCTTCAACCGGCACGCCCAGCTCGAAGCCCGTGACTATGCTGTGATAACTCCGACTCATCGCCGTGCCATGCGGAGGTTCCGAGAGCGTTACATGTACTACTCATACTGCTATGATACGGTGAGGTACCCTGTGGCACCGCCGGAGTGTGTTGTTATACCCTCAGAGAGACAGAGGTTTAAGGAAACGGGAAGGTTGAGGTTTGGCGGCAGCCACCGTTCGCGGCGCTCCAGGCGGGGAGGCCGTACTTCGACGCCGGTGGATGAGAATGAACAGGCTGATATGAGATGATTGATGTTCAGATGCAATGCAAGTGCAGAGAGTCAATTAAACTTTTCATTTATTAATTAATAAAAATAAATAAATGAGTTAATTATAAAAAAATGGCAATAAAATTTCTTTAAAATATATAAATAATAATTTAATATCTTAAAATATTATAATTTTTTGAAAGTCTTAAAAATTTTTTTGTCATTAATGAATTTATGTAAATGATCAAATTGTTCTTATTAAAAATAAATGATTTAAAATTTTTTCTTATATTCACAATTTTTGTTTTTAAATTTGTAATAATGCAATAGCAAATTACAATTTTATAAGTTAAATTTTTTATTTAATATTGCATTATTGTGAATATAAGAAAAAAAGTTGTGAATATAAGAAGAAAAGTTATGAATTATTTATTTTTAATAAGGATAATTTAGTAATTTAGATAAATTGATTAATGATAGAGAAGTTTTAAAAATTTTAAAAAAATTATGATATTTTGAGAGATTAAATTATTATTTATATATTTTAAAAAAATTTTATTATCATTTTTTCTTAATTATATCTTGTCATATATTTTCACATTTTATAATTTATGTGTTGAGAATAGTTTGTGCATATTTGTGTATGGCAGGGTTTTCTTTTCTTTGTTGATAAATGTTTTTTAAAATTTTATCCAGAGCCTGGGACTGAATTATTTTAATATAGTTGGAAATTTCATCCATTTCATCATGACCCCAGTTTGAAATTTTCGTACAGTCAAGAGTAATATGCAATAGAATTTGAGTTGGTGGGACTATTTAAAATTTAAAATATTATTAAAAAGGAGACAAAATGAAATGAAATAAAACTAATGATGGAGCAAGCAAACTTACCATATGTCGTGTTGCACCCTTCCAGCAGAATATGACCATTGGAAGAGGATCATCCGCGAGTGATATGTTTGGGCCGTGTGCACTAAGGTCTAAGTAATCAATATTACCACCAAGCCCATTTGCATATGTGTAGAGGTAGAAATATATAACAACCCAAATCATATGAGTAGAAAAAAATATGAGTTGGATTGAGTTTAACCTATTTTTATTTAAGTTAAAAAAATTTCAACACAATCCAACCTTTGAAGGTTTGTGAGTTAAATGAGCTAATTCACCAACTCATTTATTTATTTATTTATAATTTATTTTTTATGAATTTGAAAAAATATACTCAAATAATGAGTTTCAATATAATATTTCTTCATGATTCATTCTAAATATCAATATATTAATTTTGTAATGTTTCTATAAAATATATGAATTGATCCATCTAGGTAAGCCATGCTTAATATAGTTTATATCTACAAAATTTTTATCTTTTTATTTTTAAATTTTTTTTAAAATAATATGGGTTAAACGAGCCAACTTCAATTCATTAGAATTAACTCATATAATTCACAGGTTATATGGTTCGAATTAATAAAACCCATTTTTATTGTGGTCAATTTTTTTTCTCACCGACCCAACCCTTATGATAGGTTATTAAGGCCAACACACATAATCTAAGCCATATTCCTAGTGATAAAAATTAGTCGCTCTACCCTTAAAATTAATCTAAATCAACCCAAATACAATATAAGGCCAACCTAAGTCATTTCTCAAGGAATGATTTTAGCTTAATCAAATGTTATCTAATGAAATAAATCACTCAAAGTTGTGAAAATTGATTACCTAATTATTATCTAATTACCTAGTTGACAAGAAATCAAAATGCTAGCTAAGTGAATGGAATGAACTTCCTTTTTTCAAAAGTAGGAACCTTAGGGTATTGCTAATGGAGGAATTCTAGCCTCTAATTAATTATAGCAACTCACTCAACTTTTCTTCCTTAGTTAAAAAATGTGTTTACTTAAGATAATTATGTCAAACAACCTAGTTTTACTAATTCATTTCCCTAAATGCTAATTACAAGCCCTTTAGGTAATCCCGTTAGCTTAGCTCAAGAATTAACCAAGTGTTTAGTCAAAATTCATCTCCTAATGCCATGGCCCAAAGTTATACCTAAGCTCAAGACTATGAAACTCAAGCAACTCATTAAACATTTACCACATAATTACATGCTAGGTCAATATAAGGCATTCACTCATTGAAATCATATATTAGAATGCAAAATCACAAGGTGGATGAAATTCCAGCAAGCAAAAAGGAAGTGAAATTTAAGTCAACAATCTTGTTCCAACACTAACAATTACAACCAACTAAGAAACTAAAGTCAAATTGAATTATAATTAACTATAGTCATAGTATTCTAATAGAATTGAAACAAGATGAAGAAATAGTTAAGCCTAACCAAATGAAGACTTTAAAGCTTCTCTTCCATCAAATCTTTCCTAGGATTTCATGGAGAATCTAGCTATAAAACATCAAGAACACTTTGCTCATCCAAGAACTCCAAGAAGCCAAGTTGTGCTCTATGACTCTTAATGAATTGAGTTTCAAATCTCCTTCCAAATGCTTGGGCTAGGTCGATTAAAGGAGGAGGAGAGAATGGTGGAAGAATTGAGTAGATTTGATGGTGAAAAGTGGAAGAATGGTGGCTGAATGTGAAAAGTGGAAGAATGGTGGCTGAATGTGTTACTGGTGTGGAGAGAAAGAAGAGAAAATGAAAAACATTATGAATTAAAGAGAGAAAATGGAAGAGATGAATGAAGTAAGGTGAATCATTTGAATAATAGGCTGAATGGCGTGATTCCTTTTATTTTCCATTAGCTGAAGTTCAATTAAAAAATAAGAAAAGAAAATAAAAAGGAATATTAGAGCCTTGCTACATTTGCAATGTGACACCCTCCTATTGGTTGATAGATAATTCTAATATATGTACAATTAATCTCATGCATCATTCATACCTTAAGCTGATCTAATCCTCCAATGTAGCATAAAACACACCTCTTGCTTCAACTTTGACCTCAAGAAGTTTTGACTTCATTTGCCCAATTGATGCACAAGTCACCCCATTTATGTAAAAAAAATTACATAATTCAATTAAATAACATGTGACATGATAAAATCTAATGGAAGTTCATAATTAAATTCATAATTAAAAAGAAGAATTTATTAAAATAATCAAGTTTCAAGCTGCACAAAATTATATAAAAATTTTCACACAAAGGCCAATCAAAAACTAGATCAAATTAAAGACACTTGAGAAAATATTGGCTATTTTATTTAATTACTACTAAAATAAAATAAATTTTAAAAATATAATTTTACTACTCATCTTTTGGACATAAAATGAATTTTAAAAATTTTTCTTGTATATTTTCTCAAAAGTTTATTTTTGGACTAAAATATCCTTAGTGTACAAAACCTAGACACTTAGGTATTTTTTTAATTTTAATGCAATGTGTGCACGTTGAGATGATAAAAAATTAATAAAATGATCATAATTGACAAATAAAATTGCGTAATAAATATGTTCTATCACCCAACTCCACCTCTAAAGCTGTAATCATAAAACTAGTATTCCTTCTGTTCTATATGTATAAATCATTTTTAACTAACCCATCATAATCAACACAAGTTAGCTAGAGTAATAAAGTTGTCTTAACAAAAATTAATTTTAGTTTTACCCTTAAATTTAAATAAGAGCACTTCCTTTGTTAAAAATATAAGGCATTTTTTGAGGAGTTGCATGTTAAAAAATGTAAGGCATTTTTTTTTAAAGGATTGTATATTAAAAAATATAAATCATTTTTAGTCTTTTAAGGTGTAATCATTACCTTTTTTTTAAATGTCTCCATTGAATAAATCACTTTATATTTATTTTAGAATAAAACACCCTATTAAATAGAGATAAATATGAAAAAATAAAATTAATTTGAAGATAAGTAACTATTTTATTAGGGGTAAAATTCAGTTAAAAATACCTTACATTTTTTAATGAAGGGAATAATTTAGAGAAAAGATTTTTTGGGAATATAAATATTTCATTTTTTAAGAAAATCTGCATGAGGACATTTTTGGGATTATACATTAAAAATTGCATAAAACAAGGAAGAATGACTTGCATAAGAACCAAAATGATCTTCTACCAACAAACATTTGATTCAATTGATAAGGAAGTTGTATCAACTTAACCAAACCTTTGGAATGTAACAGCGTTCGATAATAAAACTTTTGCCTGAAAGAAATCAAACCCAACTTGATTTGAATTAGTCAAAGTCATTGGCTCTTGGATGTTAAAAGTTTTACTTTATTTAAAAAAAATTCTAAAAAGTTATTAAAATACGACTGAGAGAGAGTAAATTACATGAAAAAGGAGGGCTATTAAGGGGCATATGTGCTAGTATATGAGAAAACAAAAAATTGGAAATTGGAATATGGAGTTGTGGGCCTCCTACATTTGCTGAGTTTTGAATGGACAACAATGAATATGGACACAGTATTAGCGTGAACAAATGGAAAATGGATCCAACCTGCGGGCGTTTGGGTCCCTCCAAAGGACACTTCGGTGGCCATCCATGTTCAAAATTTGTTCAATCTGTCAACCACTATATGATCCATGGTCGGAAAAAAACATCCATGTATGATCTCACATACATTTATCCAATTATCAGAGATGTAACTCATGTTTCAAGATATAAGCTAGATAAGAAGAAGACACTGCTCACAATCTGACCTGATACAAACAGAAATTTAATTTTTTTTAAAAAAAAAAACCTAATACATGTCATGTTTTCACTGGCTTACAACCCTCTTCCTAGCAATTCAAATGCAGTAAGCAATTCATATTTAACTTGCATATATAAACCATTTCATGTTCAAAATAGTGTTCTTTTCATTTTTTAATCTTTGGATCAACACGCACAGTTTTTCAGGAGAAAGTGAAAAGCACATAGAGCATGGAACAGCGCTTAGTTATTACCAACTAGAGGCTAAACGCACAAGTCATAACCATCTATTTGTAACATTCGATTTCTGAACTACAAACAGTACTTCAAAACATGATTTTGCTTCTCATTCACTTGCCGACCCTGCTGTAACTACTGTTTGAGGTCATGGAATAACACGCGTGTCCATCAAATGAAACACAAGTTGCTTTCTCCCAAACATAACAGAGACATTTCAAGTCTGTGTTACACACATGTCGGAAATTGGGGGTACAAGACATGACTTATGCTTTATATACATCACAGACTATATCGTCCATTTCCTCCAGCTCCTGTATGGACCCTGCAAATACCTTATTCATAAATGTTTCCAAATGGAAGACAAAATGCTATTCATTCATCATCATCATATGCCTAAACAGTTCAATGAAAACCCCCAAGATGAAACTCCACAATAACTTGAAGATGACTTTGGATCCTGTAGATTTCCTAAATTTGCCATCCACCACTTCCTCTTGTTTCTACTACGTTCACTGCACAATATTTCAAGGGCTTTGTTATCTGTACATACACTAGTTTGCCAATGTCATTCACCACCATTAGGCATCTCGTTTTACTTCTATTCCTCCACCGTGTCTTCTCACACATCATTGCCAACAGAAACATTTGATGCAGCAGCAGCGCATTGAGCAATTTATGTGGCAGCTTGGTCTTGAGCATTTCGTGCAGCAGCAAGGTGGTTGCAGACATTTCGAGAATTTCAGTATTGAGCAACATTTGAGAAAGCTAGGTCTCGTACATTTGAGGGTCCACGAACATTTTGTGCAGCTGCATTTTAAGCATTCATGATCTTTTGGTCTCCAACATTTCACTCCACAGAATCTGCAGGTGGAACTGGTGTTTGACTTTGATTGTGCTATCAGGCTTTGCCGAATCTTCTTGAGACGTTTTTGGGTTGTCATGTTCTCCATCTCTACGATAAATCTGCAGAGATGGCGTATGTAATCAGGGTAAAGTTCCAAGTTGCAGTGCCCACCTCCTTTAATCCACAAAGGCTCATATGGTTCTCTAGCCATTTTCCAGAGTCCATTGCCATGAAATAAATTGACAACATTATCCTCTGTACCCTGTATTAATAATTTTGCCAATTCTTCTAAGTTTCCAGTCCATAAGAAATTGGCACTTTAATGGATGTTCATGCATGGCACAGTACAATTATACATGACATTCATAGATGGGATGTAACAAGTGTCTTTTATATGACTCAATGTTAATTGAGAAACTATAGTTCAAATGCCTAGTCATAAAAAAAAAAAAAAACTCACGAATGTGACAAGACAGATTAAAATTATCAGAAAGAAAGTAAGTAGCAGTCCTGTAAGCATCAATATAGATGTTCAAAGTGGAATATTTCTGAGAGGAAATTTAGTATCAAAGCCAGTGAACCTTCTCCTAAAAGAAAGCTCTTCAAAATATACTAGATATTTCTTGAGATCATGACATGGTGTTTTTACTTTAAGTTTCATATAATATTTGATGTTCCAAACAGTTAGGGCTTGTATACCTTATAATATTTAGTTTTATGAGTTATCTTGAAAGAGGCATTATCTCTCCGTTGTGTTTCTCAGATACTCAGACAAAGAAAGAGTATATAGAAGCATTTTAAAATACTACAAGGCAACAAAAGCATCATGCCTATTCATGAAACAACTGCCAATTATTTCATTGTGTCATTTCCAAATAAGCAAGAATAATTGAAAATCAAACAAAGAAAAGACATGTACTCTGTAAACATCTTGTAGCATATGCAAAGAGGCAAAGTAATATGATTAGAATTCATTTTACTCACATGTATTACGAGTACAGGGCACTTCACCTTCTTTATTTTGTTGATGTTCTGCAAAGGTTAGAAAACCGTTACACTCGGATCATAGCAGAAGATACAGAAACCAACATACTCCCTCCGTTTCTTTTTATATGTCAACAAAGAATTGGTTAACATAAGATTCCAAAAATTTAGGTCTAAAAATGCGAATCTTCTTTAACCTTCATCAAAGCTCTACCAAATATACCTAGTCATTAGTTGTTACTTATTCAATTTTAATTAAATTTCTTTATCTTTTGTAGCCATGTCAATGAAGCTATCGAATGATATCTTTTGGTTAATAATATATCCAAAGATTTGGTTGTTGATAAAGCATATTAACATCGTGCAACCTATGTAGCCAACTTAACCTAATAGGATAAGGCTTCTTGCTGTAGCCATGTCAAATAGATAAGACAACAATTGTGTATGCTTCAGCTTATGCAGTGCTATAATACCAGATTAACCAAGTTCCACCTAATGTTAAGTCCTACTTTAATTTGGATAACTTTACCTTGTAAATGTCAAAGCAAAGAGTGAACTTGACATGGCAGAGTACACGAAGACCAGAAAGAATTCCACTGTGTAAAACGACACCTCTCAACCTTGGCAATTTAGCTGCCAAATGTAGTGTTGGCCCACTTCCAACTGACTGTCCATACAGGATCACGTCTTCTTGGCTAACTCCATATTGAGTCTCAAGGCATTCATATATTGCTTCAATATCAGCATATGTGTTGGATTCACTAGGCTGTATTTTCCATAGCAGTAACACTATCAGTACAAATCAACAGTGTGACATTCATAGAACAGTTTTCTATCATGAAACAATATAAGGAGACAAGCATAGAAAAACCATAACATATCTCAGATGCAAGACATGAAACAAAACTGAGAAGGAATCTTTAGCTAGTGAAAATGTTCAGACATTGAGATGAAGACATCATCAACCTAGTCACAAAATCTAGCATCATGGGGTTTTTCTTAAATTCCCAAATTACAAACAACTAGATTACTGGCTCACTACTTCAACTTTATCCTTGAACCCTATTTTTATGGATTCAGATCCTCGACATATACAAAACAATTAAAGCATAATAATGCATTCAGAATTAAATAAATAGAAGATAAGATGTAGTTTCCACACATAATCATATTCTTTTGTAGTAACTTCCCTCTCTATTTCACTCTCTCAATGCATGGATGTAAGAGATCCAATTTGCTAATATTTACCAGCAAGGTTTAGATTCTAACCTCAGAAAGTAGAGGGCATGCCTTTATGTGTTTCCTTATCATAAAGGAAATATTCTTGTGGTCCTAAAACTTGTAATTTGTCAATTAACTGTTTGGTGGCTCACTTTTTGTTCATGTCTAGTTGAATTATTATATGACTTTGCTTCTGAAATGTATTTTATTAATGATCTGTTCAACAATCAGCTATCATGGTTCCAATACCTTTTGCACCCCGACAAATGGATCTACTTTGTTCTCTGAATAATGGAAGTGAAGATATGATTTCTTGGATATTTGTTAGTATATTTCTGAATAAATACCTGTATTTTATTTTGTAAGTATATTCGTTTACTATACTTGCTATATTTTGTTAGAATATTAGAAAAACTGTTTTGAATTCATCAGTTATTATACAACATATTCTGTATTTGATTTATCATTTATAAATCCATTTTGTCCAACATTTGTACGTCAAAAAATAAAAGGTCTTACCTTGCCTGTAGAGGCCCCATATCCAGAGTAGTCATATCTGCCCAGAAAAATTTGCAGAAAAAAATATTATCAATTCAAGTCTTGAAACGCATGTAATTCGATTGTTTCCCAGAAATAAGCTAGGAGATTTCTCAAGGCAAGGTAAGATGAACATTACAGTGCAACTTAAACATGCTTGAAAGAGAGACACAAACAATGATGTATCATCATGAACTTTGAAGGGGGGGGGGGGAAAGCGTCCTTCTAAAATGCAGACAACGTCAGAGAGTTTGAAAAGCGCACGAAATACCAAGGAAAACGCTAATCCTCATCCTATGTCGCCTCATCAATCAATGTAAAGGTAAAAACTCTCGATCACTTTATACAGAAGAGAAAGTGAATCCAACGAAAGACAAAGAAAGGTCTGAAAAGACAGTTTCGAACTAGCTGCCAGGAACCATAAATACAATCACCTTTATATCTCCCCATTCACTTCATCTTTTACCTTTAGGCCAGACACCAAAACCCACACACTTTTCCCTTTTGATTGGAAAGTAGTAAAAGACATTCACCAGATCTCATTCTGATTTTGGATCCAAACTGGGCAAACAAAACACCCAAAAAAAAAAACCCCCCATGAAAAAATACATATATCCATCGGTCCATTAGTTTAAATCAACTCACACTTATACAATCACCACACGACACAAAAAGGGATCGGAGAACGCAATACCAGAAGCAGACGATGAACTAACTTGAACATGTTTTTGGTGATTATGTTGGCAAAAGTGATAAAAGAAAAGAAAAACACTGACCCCATGAGATTAACTCTGAGATTGACCTTGAGCTGCACGAATAGGTCGTAGAGCTGGCCCAGGTCAGCGGCATTGCCGTGAGAGTAAAGCAGAGTGAGGCGAGCGTAAGGATTTCTGAGGTAAAAAGCCACAATCTTGTTCCCGAACTTGGTATCCACTAACAGAATATCCAACGAAGGATCATCCGCGTGAGGAATCGGTATCAGCATGGACGGCGACGGCGACGGCGACGTCGGCGAAACCACCACGACCTTCCCGTCGGGCCGCTTCTTGAGCTGGTATGTGGGCGGAGACGGCGGAAAGAAGGCGAGTTTCGCCGCTAGCTGAGAAACTATACACCCCATTCACGACACGATAGAAAGAAATAAAAGAACCCCAACTCATTTGAACGTCAAAGAGACTGAGTTCATCGGGGCTAGTTAATATATGAATGATCCCTCTAAAGTTCTTTGTTTCATACACAACAGGTTTCTGGTCTGATTTTCGGACTAAAAAATGCTCAGAGGTGTAAACGAAGGAAGGAGATGGTGCTGCGAATCGAAGGCAGCGAGAGTTGGAGCGGTGTGGTGGTGTTGGGAAGTGTGGGTGTGAGTAACTGAGAAATGAGCACTGAGTGAGAAGGGAGAGAGAGAGAGGACATTAATTTCAAAATTCAGTTTTAATTTATGTGCGTTTCTTCATTCGTGTCAGCTCTTGCAGGAGAAATGCAGGTCTTGTCAGTCTTGGAGACAAATTTTCTTTATTAAGTTACCCTCCTTGGTTTCTCGGCCAGAGAAAATACTAGTATTACCTAGACGCTCAACTTATACCAGAGAGGAATCTCTCTGCTGCTTTTTTCTCCAATTCTCTTCACTTCCTTTATCTTTATTATTTATTAATTTTATCATTTAAAAAAATTATTTAAATGATAAGAATGAAAAAAATAAAAAAAAAGATAGAGAAAAAGATGAAGAGACCTCTCTACCCAACTTATATAGGTCTTCATTAGCTCAATTTCGTCCTTGCTATATCAGAACGGATCAATGGATCTTATTATTTCGCCTGAAAATAATTTGAACAGAACTCCATAGGATGGGATAAGAGATTGCCCAACGTGTCTCATCGCAATCCAAATATTATATATATATATATATATATATATATATTTATTTATTAAAAAATATAAAATATTTTTAATTGAATTTTACATTTTAATACAGTAATTATCTACTTTCAAACTAACCTTATTTTTTATATTTATCTCTATTAAATACCTTATAATAAATATAAAGTCATTATCAATAGAATACTTTAAAAAAGTAATGATTACACCTCGAAAACTAAAATTTTATATTTTTAAACATCTAACTTCTCAAAAAATACCTTATATTTTTTAACAGAAAGAGTATTTTTTTATTTTAAAAATATACAGTAAATATATTAATTATATTAATATAATTTAGACTTATATTAATTATATTAATTATGCTATTCTTATTGAAATTTTTTATATTAATAATTTTAATGATACAAAGTAAGTAGTACATGGTAATATTTTTTTTCAATATATTAATTATATTAATATAAATTATTTTATATCTGCTTATTTAATAACTTTTGTTTATATCTTATTTTTTATTTTATTTCAGAAAGAAGTACTACCTTGACATGTCTTAACTAAAAAAAAAAAGAACAATGATTTAATGTTGTGTCAAGCTTGTCTGTTACTTTTATAGCCTAAAGATTATTTGTAATTACTATTATAATATATTATGTTTCATGTATACACAATTTTAAATTGTATACTTGTAGTTGTGATTGATGTAATTCAATAATTGTTCTGATTTATATATTCATGTTATTTTAATTTTAAACTTAATAAGTTATATGATTTAAAATTTTAATTAATAAATATTATTATACAGGCCTTTCTTTCACATTGTTCACTTTATCAAAATGACAAGATAGATAAAAATTCAATCCTAATCATTTTTTGGGATAGGATATAGGATAAGAGTATCTTGATTCCGTTCCATCCCTTGAACAACCTTAGTATTACCCTTCTTATTTGCAAATGGCATTCTTTTAAATTTAGTAATATTAATATTAATATATTATATATTAATATAAAAAATTAATATTAAATTTTTAATGAATGTTAATAATAATATTAATATATATGGATTAATAAGTTTTTAACTTTAATTAATATATATACAGTGTGAAATAAAATGCTCCCTGTGAGAATCAGAAATAAGCATGAGTTATGACTATATATGCACGCATTATTAATTAACGTGACTAGGAAGAATGACAATAAAATTTTAAAATTAAAAAAGTTATGGCAATTAAGTTTTGAAAAAAAATTAAAAAAATAAATTGTAAATATTAATTTAAATAATTACAAATAACAATCCAACTACAAATTGAGACTTATATTTAAAATTTAAATATTTTATTTGTATTAAAATTTTTAAATTTATTATTGTCTAAATCAATATTTATAACTAATTTTTAAAACAAATTATCAAAAAATTAACTGATATAAATTTACTGTTTTAGGACTTTATTATTGTTCTCCCCTTAAATTTCGTTGAACTTATAAAGACCAGCATCTAGTTATTATGCCCATATAAAACTAAAATAAAATATCTAACAAAAGTGCTCTATTTAAGAGTTATCAATAAATAATTTATTTTCAGGTCAAGAAATAAATAGTAATTTATTTATAAGTTTGTACTGACCGTTTTATTTAATAAAGTTCGACATTGCTTTAAGAAACATATAGAAATCTTAGGGGGAAAATAAGAATGAGTGAATGGAAGATAGTGTGTGTAAGTATGAAGAGGAGCAGATAATAAATTAAAATTTAAGGTAATAAATTAAAGGGACAAATGGAAAATTTAATCTTAAATTATAGGTCTAGAAGTATGGAATCTTAATCTTGTTTTGTGTGTAATGTTTTCTTTCAATTTTTCAAAAGACTACTTGTAATTAAATTAATGTATTTTAAAAATTATAGTTATTAAACTGATAAACTCTAGGAAAATAATTAATAATAAAAGTAATAATCAAAATCAAAACTTGCAAAATCACCTTCAACACCCAAACCATTAAATAATAAAATATTTTTATCAACTATGAAGTATTAACTATTAAGTGTGAAGGCTCAAAGGATGAATGGAGAGAGAAAGAAAAGCCAAGAAGGTTGGGAGAGAGTGTCCACCAAACTCCCTTTACAAGGAAAGTGTAAGAATCGACTCCCTATACCGTAAATAGTTAAACTCCACTGTCAAGCCATGGAAGCCAATTCGATAAAAGAATGCAAGCATCTTTAACCTTATCGACAATAGCTAAAAGAAAAGGAAAATACATTCTCTAATCTCTATTGAAATAAAGCAGAAACACTTGACAGTAACAACGAATAGAGGGGTAAGAAAGATAGAGCCACAAATGAAGGATGAGGCAGATAGACTTTATTGAGGTTGAGTTAGGGGCAAATCTGGGGGGGCATACAGGGTGCTTGCCACCCATGTCACAAATTTTTGGATGAATTTTCTTCATTTTTACTTGACAAAATGAAAAAAAAAATAATGTTGACCCCCCAACTTCATAAATTTTTTATTTTGACCCCTCACATGTCGTGTTCTAGATCCATTACTGGGTTGAGCAGACGATCATAGAGGAAAATAGTAACAATGAATGGAGTCACTTACATGAATAATGCATTGGCAGTCCTTTGACTAGGAAGACGATGGTCAAAGAGGAAAGCCATAAGCAAAGGAATGATGGGATCTATGAATGTGATAAGGAAGACGGTGGAAGATAATGATGAAGGCTTAAGGCTGTTAGTGGCAAGCAAGAAATTGAAAGTTGCTTGAGTCGTATAGGAGGACATTATCTTTAAGAACTATTCCGACATACTAGTACGGCAGACCAGCAATTCCCCAAAATTAAACAAGTACGTCCTGCACAATTAAGGCAACAAAACAGCGGGCACTAATAGAAAAGAAACTCAGATAGATGAACATAGCACAGTCAAGGCAGAGGAGGAAAGAAGTAGCTCGAAACTTAAGAGCCTAGCACCTCATTTTGTCCGCATGCATGCTTATATATAGGTCGAAATCTTGGACATGAACATTAAACTCATAATCACCAGATTAAGCACTATTAAACCTCAATTATAAGCATTTTATTTCCATTAGGCACTGAGCCATTGTGGAGACAATGCAATAATGAAACTTGATTAACAAAATTCGTTTAAGAATTTGCTTAAAAGTCAGAAACGATTAAGATTCAAATTCAAATTGCAATAAGTCAAAAAACAAGGTTTTCTAGTAAGCTCATTTAAATAAATAATTATTTATTTTTTTGCAAAAAAATTGGCAAAAGGAACCTAATGCTTGTTTAACTCGTGCACAAAGGAGGTAAATCGGCTATTTACAACTGCGATTGCTTTAAGCTGGCCTGTTTTGTGTGTATGAGTCAACTTCTCCTCCAAGGCCATTTCACCAACCTATTTCATTTCTTAATATTTTCATACACTAGGAGTTCTCTTTATTTGGATAATGTGAGACTTTTTTTTTTTGATACACACACAATAATAACTACAATAAGGGCTTAGCCAGGAGAGAAGTTTAGGTTTACAGTGTGACTTCTGAATGCAAGGCTGTGTGTGTTTGCCCTTTGTTATTCTCCTATGTTCTGTTCAATCTTTTTTTTTAAAAAAAAATCAATGTTATACTATGAAATTGGGAAGAAGAAGAAAAGATAGAATCACCTAAACTGTTTAAATTGCTGGCTCATACAATTCTTAAGTGATTCCTTCTCCTCTTGGTTATGCCTCACTTCCAAACAAGCTACCTAGCTAGTTCCTTGTTAAACTAGTCAAACTAGCTAATCCAATCTAGTTCTAATAACATTACTTATCGTTGACTAATTCTTGATCATTTTTTATGATTGTTGAAATCATTTTTATAATTCTTTAATCAAATAATGGCCAAAATTAATATTTATTAACAATAAGAGCAATATTGCATTGCTTTGAAATGTTAAAAGGAAATACTGTATCAAAAATAAATTTAAAATTTTAAACATTCCTAAACTTATGTTTTTAGGACAAGCTTATCTGTTGACTAGCTAAATAAATAAATCAATATAATAGATCATTTTACTCTTTTTTAAGCCAAGGACTGTTTTATTTCTAGCATGCTCCTACTTCTCTGGTCCTATTAATAAAGTAGAGAAAGAAGATTAATCTTGATATTATTTTTATGACATTTCACTATTTTTTATATTCACCCTTACCCTTTTACCTTTAATAAATACTAAAAAAATTTATTAAAAATAATTTTTTCATTATTATTAGAAGTAGAGGTGAAAATTTATAAAATTTTAAGATAAAGTTAATAAATTTTAAATTTTTTTTAACTTAATAAAATATGTTAAAAATAACTTATAAATATCATAAGAAAAAATATATTGTATGTTCTTACAAAAATAATTTTTTTTGTTTTTCTTTAAATTGCACGAGAATCTTTAACCATTATTCACGCTAGGCTCAGATGGGTGAGAAAGATAAAAATTAATCAAATTTTTTAATATATTAATTTATTTAATTTAATATTATTGAAGCATAGCCGATATCATTGGAAGTCTTCAAAAACACCTTTAAGAAACCCAGTCAAATAGTAGTTACTCTATAGAAAGTGATGATTTAATTTAATGATTTGAGCAACC